GGGACCGCGTGACGCTCGGCGGGAGCCACTTGTTCCGCTTCACCCACCCGGAGCAGGCGCGGCGGCGACGGGCGGAGCGGGAACGGGCGGAGCGGGAACGGCAGGAGCGGGAACGGCAGGAGCGGGAATGCCGGGAACAGGCGGAGCGGGAACGCCGGGAACGGCAGGAACAGGCGGAGCGGGAACGCCGGGAACGGGCGGAACAGGAACGCCGGGAACGGCAGGAACGGGGGGAACGGGCGGAGCGGGAACGGGCGGAGCGGGAACGGCAGGAGCGGGAACAGGCGGAGCGGGAACGGGCGGAACAGGAACGGGCGGAGCGGGAACAGGCGGAGCGGGAACGCCGGGAACGGCAGGAACGGGCGGAGCGGGAACGGGCGGAGCGGGAACGCCGGGAACGGCAGAAACGGGCGGAACGGGAACGCCGGGAACAGGTGGAGCGGGAACAGGCGGAGCGGGAACGGGCGGAGCGGGAATGCCGGGAACAGGTGGAGCGGGAATGCTGGGAACAGCAGCAACAGGCGGAACAGGAATGCTGGGAACGGCAGGAACAGGCGGAGCGGGAACGCCAGGAACGGCAGGAACGGGCGGAGTGGGAACGCCGGGAACAGGTGGAGCGGGAACGGGCGGAGCGGGAACAGGCGGAGCGGGAATGCTGGGAACAGCAGGAACGGGCGGAGCGGGAATGCTGGGAACAGGTGGAGCGGGAATGCCGGGAACAGCAGCAACAGGCGGAACGGGAACGTTGCGAACAGGCGGAACGGGAATGCCGGGAATGCCAGGAACAGGCGGAGTGGGAATGCCGTGAACAGGTGGAGCGGGAATGCCGGGAACGGCAGCAACAGGCGGAGCAGGAATGGCAGCAACAGGCGGAGCGGGAACGCCGGAAAAGCCGCAAGCAGGCGGAGCGGGAACGCCGGGAACGGCAGCAACGGGCGGAGCGGGAACGCCGGGAATGCCAGGAACAGGTGAAGGGGAAACGGGCAGAGCAGGGAGGCCGGGAATGCCGGGAACAGGCGGAGCGGGAACGGCGGGAACAGGCAGAGCGGGAATGCCGGGAGCAGCAGAAACGCCGGGAACAGGTGGAGCGGGAACGCCGGGAACAGGCGGAGCGGGAACGGCGGGAACAGGCGGAGCGGGAACGGCGGGAACGTCGGGAACAGCCCCCCCCGGCCGAGGAGCAGCAACAGCCGCCACTGGTGAGGGGGGAGTTTGGGGGGGACCCGGGACCCCCACAATGTCCCCAGGGGGTCCCCAACGTCCCCACGGGGTCCCCAATGTCCCCGGGACCCCCGGGATGTCCCCAGGGGTCCCCAATGTCCGCAGGACCACCAGGGTGTTCCCACAGGGTCCCCAACATCCCCGGGACCCCCATGATGTCCCCAATATCCCCACAGGGTCCCCAATGTCCCCAAGGGGTCCCCAATGTCCCTGGGACCCCCGGGATGTCCCCAGGGGGTCCCCAATATCCCCTGGGTGTCCCCGATGTCCCCGGGACCCCCACAATGTCCCCAGGGGGCCCCCAATATCTCCACGGGGTCCCCAACATACCCAGGGGGTCCCCAAAATCCCCAGGGGGTCCCCAACGTCCCCGGGATCCCCACAATGTCCCCAGGGGTCCCCAAAATCCCCAAGGGGTCCCCAATATCCCCAGGGTGTCCCCAACGTCCCCAGGGTGTCCCCAACGTCCCCGGGACCCCCGGGATGTCCCCAAGGGATCCCCAACATCCCCACAGGGTCCCCGACATCCCCAGGGGGTCCCCAACGTCTCCAGGACCCCCACAATGTCCCCAGGGGGTCCCCAATGTCTCCACGGGGTCCCCAACATACCCAGGTGGTCCCCAAAATCCCCAGGTGGTCCCCAACGTCCCCACAGGGTCCCCAATGTCCCTGGGATCCCCACAATGTCCCCAGGGGGTCCCCAATATCCCCAGGGGGTCCCCAACGTCCCCAGGGGGTCCCCAATGTCCCCAAGGGGTCCCCAATGTCCCCGGGACCCCCGAGATGTCCCAGGGGGTCCCCAACATCCCCAAAGGGTCCCCAATGTCCCTGGGACCCCCGGGATGTCCCCAGGGGGTCCCCAATGTCCCTGGGTGTCCCCGATGTCCCCAAGGGGTCCCCAACATCCCCAGGGGGTCCCCAACGTCCCCAAGGGGTCCCCAATGTCCCTGGGACCCCCGGGATGTCCCCAAGGGGTCCCCAATATCCCCTGGGTGTCCCCGATGTCCCCA